TAAATATTAATAATTAAGTATAGTATATAGTATAGTATATAGATATAGATAGAGAGAGANAGAAGAGAGAGAGAGAGAGAGAGAGAGAGAGAGAGAGAGAGAGAGACGATATACTCACACAGACACAATTACTTTGGTGTTCCCAAATTCTGCATATGCAGATCCCGAAGCAGCATTCACAGCCCCAGTTCTCAAAACTGTAGTTCAACAAAAAGAAATAAAAATAATAAACAATAAATAAATTGATTATTTCTTCATAAAATAACCATAAACCTACATCACCGATCAAATAAGTTTTCGAAAAGAAGAATCCAGTGGTCCAATATAAATAAAATTGATCCAAAATAAAAAGGAAAACTAATTACCAAAATAATTGCTAGTATTTGAAGGCATACATCAAATCCAACTTAGAAACCAATACTTTTGTCTTGAAACCAATACTTTTGTCTAGAAACTTAAAAAATGTATAATAATAAAAATAAAAAAATAAAAAAGACAAAGGAATAGAAAAACCCAATTGAGAAAACTTAGTGAATCAAAACGCACCTTCCAATCAAATAACCTCTTCAGAATAAACCAGGACAGATCAAAATGTACGGAAAATTTATTAAAAATGAATATTGGGAGATACCATGAGTTATATAAGATCAAGAACCAATTTTCACGAAAATAATCACTGAGATTAATAGTTTAAATCACGGAAAACACAGTGATTTGGGTGTGAACACTAGAAATCGAAATAGAGAGGCAGGAACTCCCACTGTTATTATTGCACCATGAAAGCACATATTTGCAGGGTTCTAGAGAGAGAATAATCAGACGATACAGGCACAAATATTGCCGGATTCTAGAGAGAGAATGAACAGATTATGGAGCACATATATTGCAGGATTTCTCGAGAGAGAATGAACAAATTATATCTAAAGATAGATGAATTTAAAGGAAAAACTCACAGGCTAGCCTGCACTCATGGAAATGGCGGCCATCTGAGCGAACCCCATTTGTAAAATTAGGGTTTTTCCGAGAAAACAACGGAGAATATGTGGAAATAGTTCCTGATTTGCTCGCCATTTTTTCCCTTGTTTTTGCTTTCTCGCGCCAAAGTTTTCCTCACTATAGCCTGAAACCCCTTTCCTCTGTTATCTCTAAACATGGGATTGTCACGAAATATGCCCCGATTAAATTTATAATGATGGAAAGCTCCTTAAGAAGTTTTCGTAAGACTTCTCTTCAGCTAGAATGCATACTATGATCCATATGCCAGAAAGAAATCCATTGTCAAGAGTGTTATCACCATCCGATCAATGGATGGACGGTGATGAAATGTGGGAATGTGTGGCCCACTATCTCCTTTCCAATGTCCGCCACAATGAACGGTGATGATCATTGTGTCGCAAATTGTATTGTCATGGACTTCCTTATAAACCAAGCTAATAAACTTAGGATTGTTCACAATGAGATCATTAATTTTGCGGAGAAAATAACAGCACCCAAAGTTGTGAGATGTGAAATGGTGTCATTGCTCTACTTTGTATCTCAAAAATTCTTATTTAGATTTTTTAATACAATCAAATTACATATCTGAAAGCTCAATTTTACATTTAATGGCTTGAGATGATTATGACTTTATTACAAAAAAGACATACTTTCCAATAATAATAGTGAGGCCCCGATCATGATCATGAGAACTTGATTTCGTTTAAAGCTGTTGGCCCGAACATCTACAATGTAGATTAGTTATGGCGCACCTTTAATCAATAATCGGGAATGTAGATGTTTGGGTCCACACTAATCCTTAGATGAATTATTTAACACATAATTTCAAAGTTAAAAGGGTGTCATCTCCCCACATCTCTAGGTACATTTCATGAGTTTTTAAGGAATTTCTCCTTGCTCTAGCACTGCTACTTCCAAGATGTGAAACTTCATATCATCTATTTGAAACATGGCTTGGCTTGGCTTGATTGATTAAATTATGGAAAAAGTTTATATAGAGCCGAAGCTCTAAACAATCAAATTAAAGCCTACCTCAAATTTTTCACTAAAACTAGAATATTTTCAAATATCCTCAAATTGATCATCTCGACATCAAGATGCATGGACATGAGAAAAAAATGGATTTCAAGTTTTGAAAATAGCGTATTTTGCAATGCATTATTGGACCGTTCATTTTCAAGATTTGCAAGTTTTCATAGATCTGTCAATCTACATTATTTTTGAAGTTTTAAACTTTATAAATAAAGATGAAAATACATTTTAAAACTATCACAAAGATTTTTAATGTTGAAACCACATGTCTCGACACTATTTGAAAGTAAGCTCTAATTTGATTGTTTAGAGCTTAGGCTCTATACAAACTGTAGGAGCAATTTATGTTACAATTTTTGTCGAGTCCAAAACCTGCGGTTCAATTATTTATTGGAAAAATATCCTATTATCTTCTATTTTAAATTTTTATATCTCATGAGACCCAAGAATTGAAAATATTACTTTAAGCAAAAAAATATCATTTTTATATCTTTCAACCCTCCAAATCTTTTTGATCATCTATTATTGACCTCAACAACTTATGAAAGGACTATATATATATATCTCTCTCTAAAACTCCATCACTCTTTCACATCATCCTCTCTTTCTCAAAACTCCATCTCTCTAAAATCTAAACTCCATCTCACTCTCATATTATTGTCTCTCTCTCTCAAAACTTCATCTCTCTCCTTAAAACTCAAACTCTATCTCTCTCTTTCTCTCTAAAACCAAAACTCCATCTCTCACACACATAAGAAGGTGTATTCATGATTGAACTCGAACTCAAACTAAACCCCTTGGCTGATAAACTCACCGAAAAGCGAAAAGAGAGAGATGGAATTTGAATAGGGTGTTATTTTAGTGTTTGTTTGAATAAAAAATTTATGGTCAAAAAAATCCAAGAGGTTGTAAAATAAAAATGATGAAAACATTTTACTTACAAGTAATATTTTTAATTCTTGGATCTCATAAGATATGAAAATTAAAAATAAGAGATAAAGAGATATTTTCCTTTATTTATTTGATATTTGATATTTGAGATGTCATAGGTTTATCTCCTACCGTTAATATTGTAACATTTGTTTACTTGGACTAAAAAAAACTCAAACAATTACCCCTTGGCGTTAAAAGCAAAATGGAACAAAATTCGAAGAAAAAAAACTTCTCTTAAATGTGATAAATCGCATACCCTCCATCGTCTAATCTTACATCTGATGGCTAGGGACTGAATGTGACTTTCCTATAAAAAAACAATCTTCTCGTATGCTCGTTTTTTTTTGGGAGAAACCAACAAAAGCACCTCCAATGCAGTATTGATCATCAGGTAAAACATCCAGATTACAACCCAAAAGTCCAACAAAAAATGGTAAATAAAAAGAAAACTAAAACAGACAACAAAATAAAAGAAAAAGAAAAATAAAACGTGGGATCACGTAAACTTTTCGCATTCATGGGGGAGGCATGGGTCCCGGCTCGAAAAGAGGAGGGCAGCAACTCTGGAATAAGCCACAGCAACAAAGGCACCACAGGCTGCAAATAAAATAAAATAAAATAAAATAAAAAGTCAAAAAAATGTCTCTTATTACATAAGTAGGATGTAACAGATTAATCATTTGATTTTTACCATTTTCAGTGATTTAAAACTCGGCGATGTGAGTCCGACTAGGACACACCCACATTACTCATACTCGGCAGGCTGCCGAGTCCCGAAGAAAAACCTTAGGAACCCCCAAGCCTAGCCAATTCCCAATGCGAAGGTTTTCTAATTAATCGGCTAAGTCTTTGACAGACTTGGCCGAGTATGGTTGTCTGACTCGTGCTCAGGCCTCTTGCGACACACAGGCCGAGTATTTAGTTTAAAATACTGCCTTTTCCTTTTGGAAACCAATTCCAGTTCCCCTTCTCTCTTGTCAGTTTTAGCTCTATTTTGATTGATATGCAGGGGCTGTGGTACCAATATATCTTTTCCCTTTCTTTTCCTATCAGTGACCTCATGTTGAGGAGCAATGCCAACAGGAAGTAAGTGATATTAACATTGGAAGAAGAATAAGAAACATGCGGTATAGAGTCATAGGGTAACCACATTCTTCTTTTAGCTTTCTATTCTGCTAATATCATTTTGGTGAATAATTAATTTTTACAATTCACAGAAAGAAAACAATTCAGGCCGCGACACTAATTTTCATGGCCAACATCGAAGAAGAAAAGTAAAGTAGAAGGAGGGAAAATGCGTTTTTCACAGATTAATTAACTGCCAAAAAATTCAGGTTGCATTGTCATCCCATGCCCCTAGTGAGGAAGAAAAAGGGAAGAAAAATAAGGGACAATGGATTTTCTCAGACGAGTTTCAGGCTTATACTGAGGAAACAATGAAGAGAAAAGGGAGAAGAAAGACTGGATTTTAAAAGAAAAGGGCAAAGGGAAAAATGGGTTTTTCTCACCAAGTTCCCAGAAATCCATTGAATCCTCCACTTGCAGGTGGAGGCTCTGGTGCAGGAAGAAATGGGGCTTCTGGTGGTGGCTCCATGTTTATCCCTCTACAAAAGGGTTAGAAAAAAATAGAATCAAAGAGCTATCAGAACATGGGATTTCCCAATGTATATTATCAAGCAAATAAGGGGCACCTGCACCTTCCATTCTATTTATCTAACCTTCCCGATCAGCCCCCCACCTGCCATTCAAACACTCAAAGCTTCAAAAGAAAGGCCGCAGCCAAACAGTCAAAAGCACACAGTTTTGATCATTTTCCTTATTAGTAAGTACCTAATCTTTGATCTATTTGATATTGAGTTCTGGGGTGCCATGGTATTCTACCTGATAATTTTACCAAATATTTATTTAGAATCGTATAATGGAAAAACGTGTATTCGTATTATAGTAGGTATTCTCACTCATCCCCAACCACTCATTGATGGAAAGCAACATATCGCTTGCTATTAATTGATAAAAAAAAAATTTCTATTAATTGATCAAAAACAACTCATTCCATGCAACTAATTGATTAACTACTCATTCCCTTATACTAGCCAACAGTGAATAATAATTCACAGACATACATGGCTAACCACGTCCACAGGTATAGAACAGAGAATTCATGCATAATTAGGGACAAGTACATGCACATAACAGGGAAGTATCCTTTTTGTTATAACGGCTATCCAAATAAAGAAACACAAAATGTAAACAAACTACTTAACTGCAACAAGGAAAAGGGGGATGATTTTTTTTTTTTTGGGAGAAGGGGCAGGGGTTGCTTGCAGTGGGCGGGTGGAAGAACTTTGGATACAATTTCTGGGCCTCTGGCTTGCAGTAGTATTCATGAGACACAATCCGGATAAGGCCTGACCTGACACGCATGCCAGGGCCTCTCTGTTTATGCCTTGAGGTGTCCCTGTAGTCATTGAAACTCTCGTCCAATTTCTCCCCTTGTGTGTCTTGACTTTGACACTCTAATTTTTCAATCAGCTTCCTCAACCCTTCAAAAATCTCATCTTAACCTATGACACACCAGACAGCACCCATACTTTTCAGAGAAAACCACTCGAAATCCCATATTTGAAAGTAAACATTTAAGTATATGTGCATTTAATGTACAGTACATAATCTGGGTTGGCAATCCCCAAACCACATCTCCCTCTTTTTTTTTTTTGGGTGTGGGGGGTGATTAGAAAAAAAGGGCTGTGACCCGGTGCTGGTCCCGCCTACGCAGGGTCCCGGGAGGGGTGAGCTGGAAACGGTTCTAACCTTTGGCTTTTTATGCAAAAAATGGCCGCTCTCAGGACTCAAACGCACGCTCTTGCTCTGGATACCCGAGCCTTTTACCATGACACGGGGTAATTGATGACAATATATTATTTCATAGATATGTTTACAAAGACATCTGGGTGGGATGAGGCAGTCCACAGGTCAGGTTATCTACATAACTGTACAAAATGTATGTAACAGAAAATCACAAAGACAAAAAGGAGGCCAAAAATGAAAGGTCTGTACATGGAGAAAGCTAATCAGAGAGAGTAAGGTGGATAAAATGGAGATAAAATATACAAGAGTAAAGAGCGTAGCGAGAGAAAGTAGGCAGAGAGACCAGTTCGAAACAGGGAGGAGGTAAAGATGAAAGAAAAAAGTGTAGAGAAACCCGATCTACAACACTTAATCATGACCAGATGCAATACTAAGATAGTGAGAAAATATGCTTTTATGTAAAGGCTTCCATATGTGAAATTAAATACATATGGATCATTTTCAGGTAAGAACTTTGTTAGACAAGAACCCATCTTTCTTTTGCCTTTTTCCACTTGTGCTTTTCATGGTTTCAGCCCCTTAAAGGCCATGCTTTCTGTTGGCCATGCTTTCTGTTGTCTTTCAGAGTTATTTCTCATGGTTTCTGCCTCTTTGCATCAATCCTTTGGTTTGGCCTTCTGGAATTCAGAATGTTCAGAAATTAAAGAATCAAAGGGAGATCTATTTGAGAAATGCATTAGGCTTTACAAAGCTTGGATTAGTGAAAGCCAAAAGTTTTCTTTTTTATCCTCAAGTCCAAAGTCCATGCCCATGATTTCCTTTTTATCCTCAGCTCCCCAATCGACATTCCTGTTTTAGTTCCAATAAAAAACAAAACTAAATATTTTCATTTTTTTTTTCCTTGACCTAAATTTATTTTCCTATTTCATTGATAAATATATATATATTCCTATTTAAGCTAGCTGGGAAGGCTTTGTTTAGCTTGTTATATTATAGAAGACATTGTTCCACCCCTGAATAACCAACCACCACTCCACACGAACATGTTCGAAACGAGAATGACATTTACTAGAATTTTCTAGAGGTATCCGATAGGACTTCTTATCCAGTACAAATTCAGGAAGTACAGAGGGATAAATAATAAATGCATTATACATAAGGGTATCTGTATTATTTTGCATTTATGAACTTCATGTGCTATATATCATTAGTACATACCTTATCAAAAAATTCAAACTGACAAATGCAATAAACAAACAGTTTCCAATAAGTGGGTTGAAGTACCATAGTCAAATCCCTTGGAGCTCTCTCCATCTCGGCCAATAGGTTTTGGGTTAAATCCCATAAGGAACCTGCCAAATAAAAAGGAACACGAAAGAAAAATAATTCATTGCCATATCAAATCAAGTGCAACATGCTGAGAACAGAAATTACTGAAGGTATATTGAGCAATGACACACTAATCAGGACTTGAAAAAATGAGCAATACCTCAGACTTGGGACAATGGTCCAGATCCCCAATCTCTTCTTCTGTAAAACATTTAACATTTTGGGACCCTTCTAGTTTTTCATGTCATCCTTGCAAGCCAACTCTCTGCAGCGCAGAAAAGTTAACTGATGAGGAGTAGAAGATTAAAAAACTATGATTTCATAAGTTAATATGAGACACAAGCTGTCAACCAAAATATTGTCAGTCCAAGGGAGAGTATGGAGGATTAGGCATCTATTAAAGGAAAAATATCCAATTAGCACGAGTAATATAATTTCAAAAACAATAGAACAGGAGTGTGACTGTCAAATATGCTTCCTTTCACTCTAACCACAGATACCAAGGGGGTTTCAGTTTTGGGAGTAAGGCTAGAATATTAAATCCTGGTTTCAATCTGAATCAAGATCAACCATGATACATTTAGGTAAACAAATTGTCTCACTGCTTAGCTGAATATGTGCCAGGCGTACTTCTCAAAAATGAACTAAAAGTTTTTGAAGTCTTTTCCTAACTTTGCAAGAGAATTGAAGAGCTTTTCTGACTACACCAAAGCATTTGAAAGTTACTCCACGGTCAGTAAATTGAAATTCTTAGTGGACACCTTTTTGAAGCCCAAACCACTTTCTAAAGGAAAACATATGACAAATAAGTGGAGTATGTATACAGTTATCCAGTGGCCATCAATCATACACATTCCTAATGATGGATAGTGGAAATCAATTGCACCAGGGTGAATTTTAGAGAGGGGCCCAATACTGTTAATCTCTACTATCCATTAAGAGAAATGATTAGTAGATGACCCATTAGAGTAACACATCCCATACTTTAATGGATTATGGAATGCTGTGCCCTTTATTGAGCATGTGTTACAGGAGAATATTGCAATAGGAGAATATTGCAATACCTTATGCAGGAAATGAGAACATATCAACAAGGAGCTTTCTTTCATCAAACAGTTTAACTAGCAAAGCCACCAAAAATCCACTTCAATAAAAAATCTCTCAGGTTTCTATCGTGCCCCACAACGTGACATCATACCACTTCGAATCATCTTAGCATGCAGTTGAGAAACTGGGCTTACATAGCCCTCTCTTTGAAAAGCCTCAAGCAATACAGCATATATCTCCCTATCTGGAGACACCCCAACTTGCAACATCATATTAAACATATCTTTGGCTTCAATCAACCGCCTTCGCTTACAAAATCTGTTTATCGCGGCACTGAAATCCGAAATAGAAAGCTCAAAACCTCTCTTCACCATTCTATTAAAAAGGTCGATAACCTTGTATTTGTCACCCCTGACACAATATGCATTGACCACTGATGTGTAAGCATCTTTGTTTAGTTTTATTCCCCGAAGTGTAATAGTTTCCAGAAATTTCTCAGCACTCCATAAGTCATAACACATACATAGGCCGCTCACAAGCAAATAATAAGTAGTTGGAGTGGGCTCAAGGTTGCGCTCCATCATCTCATCATGTAAAGAAAATGCTGAGAACATGTTATGTTGTTCACAAAAACCCTGGATGAGCGTATTATAAGTAATGTGGTCAGCTTCTAGGCCCTTACTGTACATTTCATTAAGGACCCCCAAAGCTCTTTGCAAAAGCCCTTGCTTGCAAAGCCCTTTAATAATTATACTATATGTAACAGTGTTTGGTGCAATGCCTTTTGAAGCCATTTCATTGAGCAATTCCATCACAATTTCCATACTCCCCTCTTCACAATATGCATCGATTATGGTACTATATGTGACCTCATTGGGAACCAAGCCATGAAGCTTGAGCATGCCTACCATCCCTTTGGCCTCTGTAAGTCTCCCATTTTTGCATAAGCCATAAATAAGAGAATTATGGGTCACTATACTTGGGCTTACCCCATTCTTGATCATTTCCTCATACAAACCAAAGGCCTCTTGAATATAGCCCATTTTCACATACCCATCAATCATTATATTGTAAAGAAATTTGTCAATAACCAAACCACTATTTGTTAAGTAGTCCAAATATGCCCTAGCTTCGCCTAGCTCCCCATTCTTGCACATTGACGAAAGCATTGCCATACATGCAACCTTATTGGGCTTGATTCCTTCCCGAAGCATAACTTGAAACAATTTATTTGCCCTTTCCGTATTTCCTATCTTTGCATAGCCACCAATAAGGATACAATATATGATGAGATCTGGAACCAATCCCACCACGACCATTTCATCAACCAACTTCTCGGCTTCATTGACTCGACCCATTTTACACAAAGCACTTAACAACACAGCATATGTGTACATATTTAACTGGAGGTCCCGGGCGATCATCTCATCCCGAATCCTCATCCCTTCATTGACATTTCCCTTCCTTAAGTGACCACTCATAAGGGTGGTGTATGTTACATGATTAGGCCTCAAACCATTAAGCAACATCCTGCATACAACCTTATCAGCCTCTGACATAAGCCCAAGTAAACAAAAACCATTGACAAGAGCGTTGTATGTAATCAAATCAAGTTCAATGTTGTGTTTCTCCATGTCCTCAGAGAATTCTAAAGCTTCCTCAATAGAACCCACAACACAGAGTCCATGAATAAGTGTATTGTAACTGTATGTGTCCAGAAGTAACCCATGACCAAGCATTAGAGAGAGAAAGGACTTTGCGATTTTTACGAAACCCATCTCACAAAATCCAGACATAAGAATGTTAAAGGTAACAATATTTGGTAGATGGCCTACACTCTGCATTTCCTGAAACATTTTTACAGCTTCTCTCAACCTTTGACGTTTACATAGACCATGAATAAGGATATTGTAGGTGTAGATGTTAAGAGATACCCCACTAACACAAAGATCTTCACATATGCTCCAGAACATCTCTGTGTGCCTAGTTTTGCTAAGAAGACTGTTATATGTTGATATTGAAGCTTGAAGTTTTAAAAATTTCATCTTAGTGAGAACATAGAGAGAGTCATCGATCAATTGCGATTTAGAGAAAACATTTGCCAGCATATCCCATACCAGATCATTGCTATCCCAATCTTGAAATTGTTCGCTAAGTAATTCGCAAAGTATTGGTGCGGAACCAGGTCCTGCCAGAGAATAAAAGAAAAATTAGTCTTTTATTAAATAATTGAAGTGTCACATTGCCAAGAATCTTCATCAGACAAGAAAAGAGAAGAAATCCAGCCATCCACTTAGTTAAAAAAATGAAGAAAATTTTTTTGATCAAATTGCTCACAACCTCATATCAGATGAGAAAAGAAGAGAAGTCCAATCCACCATTTAATTAATAAAATAAAAAAAATGAAAATTATTGTCATATTTACAGAATAAATTCGTATTTTGCATCTTTTACTGAAAATATGGTTCATTCAAAACTCTGTTTTCAGTGAAAAAACTACCCCAGTTTTTAAACAAAACTATTTGTGATTGTTCGTAATTTAAACAAAAGACTCTCCACTAAATTTACAACTATCCCCCACAAATTCACACTAGAACCAGTAAAATAACAATAATTTTTAAAAAAGAAAAATCCACATAATTCCATAAAAAGGAGAAAATATGTTCCAAAAAGCCATATAATTTCAGAACCAAAATCATAAAACAAGCAAGCAAAAATTACACCTTAATCCTCAGAAAAATAATGCAAGAAAAACCCCGAAAAATACCTTCTTTTGCCAGTATTCTCTGTATAACGACTCTCAAATCCTTCAATCTCTTCTGCATAGCCAGTGCATGAGCTACAGCGAATTGGGTAACCCTGGAATGGCGAAAAAACAAAGTTTTGATAAACCTTTCAAGACCCAATTCATCAAAACCCTTGAAAATTGAGCCCAAATAGTGTCTGGGGTTTAATAGTGGAGACTGGTCTGGTTCTTCTACAATAGCTGGAGCAACAAATGATGAACTTCTGGGTCTTAAAATGTTGGTTTTGAGAGATAGAGAGAAAAAGTGGTGCACAAGGCGACGATGGAAGATCCTCATGCGATGGTGAAAAGCGTGAGGTATTCATAACTTTCGCAGTGGATTTTAGAGAGAGAAAATGGTGGGAAATGCAGTCATTCTGCAGTGAGTTAGAGAGAGTGAGGGTGATGTTCATTTAGGGCTAGAGAACGTAATTTTTTTTTTTTCCTTTTTGACCTTAATGGATTTGATTTGGGGTGGGTGAGAGGCAAGAGGGGGACATTGACAGAGAATGGATAGAGGACCAAATAGTAGCATTTGAGAAATTTAAGCTTGTATCCACTTTATATAGGTTAGGATGTAGTTTCTTAGCCTTAGGGTTTGTGAAAACAAAGTAAAACGGCCTTGTCCGAAGAGCACTTGGAGCATCAAAAATCTTGATGAAAAATCAATTTTTAACATTGGCCATGAAATTTGAAGTTTAAAAAGTTATATATCTTGAGATATGTGAATATTTTATTTTTAGGGTGAAATGGATGGTTTAGATAATGTGTTACAATATATATTATTTTTAGATCTTGAAATCCGAATTTTTAAATACTATATAAAAAATTACTCAATATTAAACACAAATTGTTGCGGTGGAAGAATGGAGAAAATTTTTTGTATTGAACAAAAAATTGAGGAGATGGTGCATAACGTTCGGTCTATTGATGAGGAGGTATTAACCAATGGTATGTTAATTAAAGTTTTAGAAGATCAAAGATAAGAACTGATTCATTTAGAATGGAAGAGATTTATTGGAGGTAAAAGACCGTGGTTAAATGGTTAAAAGAAGGCAATATTGACACTAAATTCTTATGTCATTGCTATTGCTATTTGTAGACAAAATGATATCTCTAATATCAAATTCAATGGTGTGAATGAAGACAATCATGAGGCTTAGGAGTTGGTTTATGTGAATCGTTCCAAAAAGGCTTTCTCCAATGGGTTACGTTTCAATGTTCAGTTTGATGGACTGCCATTCAACAAGCTTTCTAAAAATGTTGCTTATGATTTGGTTAAGGGGGTAGATTTAGAAGGGCTAGGGAGGGTTATTTTTTCTTTACGTGGGGACAAAGCCCCCGGTCCAGACGATTTCCCAATACTATTTTTCTAGAGGTTTTGGCCAATGATGAAAAAAGAATTGCTAGTGATGGTGAATGAATTTTTGGAGAGTGGAATTTTACATGAGGGGATCAATACAACGTATATTGCATTGATTCCAAAGAAGTTGTCCATAATGGGAATTAATGGTATTCACCTAATTAGCTTGTTGACGAGTCTCTACAATATTATTTTCAAAATTCTTAGTTGAGAGATTAAAAAATGTGCTTCATCTAGTAGTATCGGGTACACAGTCAACCTTCATTAGTGGAAGACTGATTATGGATGGCATTTTGATTGCTCAAGAATGTATTCATGTTTGAGGGGTGAGTGGGATTCTAGGGATAGTGATTAAACTCAACATGGAAGAGCCTTATGACCGTGTTAAACGGAATGCCTTAGATAAAATCTTATTCCGCATGGGTTTTAGTTGAAATTGGCGGTGGTGGATTATAGGTTGTTTCTCTAGTGCTAACTTTCCAATATTGGTGAATAACTTCCCGAAGTGTTTCTTTAGGCATTTAGGGGTATTCGCTTTTGCCTTTTTACTTTGGTGGATGAGGCTTTTAGTTTGATGCTTCGAAATGTAGAGTTGACAAAGCTTGCAAGGCTGTCAAGTGAGCTTAAAAGCTCTTTGTATCTCTCATCTGCAATATATTATGCAATATGTTGATGGTACCATTATCTTTTGTTGAGTAGGGGTGGGTCAAATTTTGAAGATCAAAAGGTTTCTTAGATGTTGTGAGTTGGTCTTGAGGTTAAAAATTAATTTTGGGAAAACCTCTGTTGTTCGAGCCAGTTGCTATGAGTTATTGCTTAACCACATGGCTACTCTTATGGGGTGTAGGATGGAGTGCTTTCCAATCACGTATTTTGGGATGCCAATTTTAGATTCAAGGCTACCAAAGGACCCAATTTTGAAGAGAGTACATGTAAAATTGGATTTTATGAAAGGTGAAGCATGTATCTTTTAAGAGGGCGTATCACTCTTATAAAGTCTTTGTTTTCCGGTCTTCCAATGTATTTGACGTCATTGATGGTTATGCCTGAGGATATTTTTTAAGAGATAGAACAACTTCTGAGGAACTTTTGTGGGGATCTGATGATAAGGTCAGGAAATCTCATTTGGTAAATTAGGGGAGGATTTATGTGAAAAGAAAATATATATTATATATCAGGTTAATATGGAAGGTGTATATTGTAATTAATAAATATGGGAAGGGTAGGTACAATATCTTATATTTTATGATAAGTCTGCGTATAATTTAGGTGCTTATGATTTATTTTTATTATTATCGTTTGTGTATTTGTCTATTTAAGACAAGTTTGTATATGCATATTGATTAATGGACACAATGTGTCTCTTCAGAGAAACCTAAGACTCTTCACAATTTGTATTCCAAAGAGAAAAAATAGCTTGGGAATCAGAAAGTTAAAGTTAGTTAATCAAGTATGAATTGCTAAATAGTGGTGGCGGTCAATGCGATATGAAATCAGATGTGGTGAGAGGTTTTAGTAGCCAAATATGGTTTGGATTCGGCCACTAATCTGATCATCAGGGACATAATTGGGTCTAAAAAATCTCAATTTTTGAAAGGTATATTATCTATTCGTTATTTTACCCTTTAGCGAAACTGAATGACGTGTATGAGAGGATATGTAGCTCCACAATTTGGAACATTGTAAGAAAAATCGAATCGGAATGGTTAATCAAATATGGGGCTGAAAGTGGATCAACCAGCTTAATCGGTAAATCGGTTGGTTCAACTAATCTAACAGGACAAGTCTCAGGGCGGTCAAAAAAGTGTTCAAATATAAAAAAGAATATAATAAAATATGAAAAGTATAGTTAAACCATGATTAAATAAAGCACCTCCAAATAGAGTAGAAAATTAATGAAACAATGGATTTTAAAGAATTGTGCCCAAGGGTATTTTTGAAATGTTCTAAAAAATTATGAAAAAATGTAAAAATAAGTATTAGTGACCAAAACAATTTTCAATCTTTATCAAAATGCATTACAAATAAAATCCCTTATTTTTAGATTTTATATATTATTTTTCATTTTTTTAAAAAAATATCCAGCCGATTCACCACAATTGGCCAAAACCGGTTCCGATCTAATCGGGTCTAACCAGGCGATAAGAATTTGAACCGCCTAATATTTTCCACATTGATTTGGAACATCCATTTCTTTTTTTTTTGACAAGATTTGGAACATCAATTGAACCTAAAATAGTGTACCCCACACAGTAATCACACAACTCATATACTTGCTTACAATTTTTTTAGGATATTTATGTTTCTGATAGTGTGGATGATGACTTTCTGTGGGAGGTAGAGTCAGATGGGTGGTTTTTAGTGAAATCAACCTATTATATTTTTTCCCATGATAGATTTAGGTGGAGTTGTCCCAGGTTGAAAGACATTTGGAAATGGAAAGTATCACATAAAGTGCAGGCATTTATGTGGATTCTGTAACATGATAAGCCACTGACTTTAGGGAATGTGTAGTAGATTTTTATTTTTTATTTATTTTGCTATTTTAGATTTTATGTATAGAGTTATTTTTATCTTTTGTTTCTTGTAGAGATTTAAAAGGCAAATTAAGAAGTTTTCTATGAGAGTTATTTAGGATATATTTTGTTAAAAGTTGTACACAAGGGGATTCTAATTTTAACATATTTAGTTGGGGATTTTATTAGAAAGAGATTTGTATAGGATTTGAGATAAAGAGAGAGAAGGGGGGAGAGAGGGAAAAAAAAATAAATGAGGGTGCAGGTGGAGAGTTAGTTTTCTAGTTTATTGTTTTATTATTATTATTCATTTTAATTTGCATTTAAAGGGAAGATGTCGCTTCTTTGTAAGGATGACGAATTGAGTAAATATTTTGGGCCTTATGACAAAATCTCTGGGGTGGACTCCCTTGCAAACCTTGAGACATGGTATACTCTTTTATTTTGTCTCTATTTTATTTTATTTTATTTTACTTTTTTATTTTTTTTTCTGGGTTAGTTTTTTTTTGCATTGGTTGATATCCGAGCAAGTAAGATCTATCAATCTCAATGCTACCAAAACCCACTCTTACAATCAATGATATATTACCATAAATCATGGAGTTTGTGAAATTAATCAGAGGTTGCAAAAGTTGGAGTACACAATTCTTCGAGAAGATAGTGCTCACAACCATGGAGATCTGACACCAAGTTCTACTAAAGAGACGAAGCTAGTCCCATAACCAACTCAAGTTGCATATCCTGAATATTACGATCAAATTGTGATGCAAAAACCACGTGTTAATGAACATCCACATGATCTTTGTATTAAGTTGATCTTTCGGAGTTTTATGAGGAACTTGAAAAAAAATCAAGATTAAGCTTGAGTTCCCAGTGTTCTACTCAAGTTATACCCAAAGTATTTGATGAATTGGTTTATTGAAGACAAAGTACCGAGAAGAATGGTGGGACTTCATACCAACTTTTGAGAAGGCCACTAAAAGATTTAAGTTCAACAAGCTTGAGGTCGAGCTTCTTCTAACTTTAGGGGAATGATGTGTTTTTTTTTTTTTAAGATTTTATTTGTAGAGTTATTTTTATATTTTCTTCCTTGTAAAGATTTAAGAGGAAAAATATGAAGCCTTATATGAAAGTCAATCAGGATATATTTTGTTAAAGGTTGTTAATAATAGAATCCTAGTTTTAAGGGATTTAATTGGATATTTTATTTTGGAAAATATTTGTATGGTATTTGAGATGAAGATAGAGAATGAGAGAGAGTGAGAGGAAAAAAAATGTAGGAAAGGGATAGAGTTAGTTTATTATTATTATTATTATTATTCCTTTTAATTTGTTTTTAAAAAGAAAATGATGATGGTGAATTATATAAAGAGTTTGGGTCTTGTGACAAGATCTTTAGGGTAGACTCCTTTGCAAACTCTGAGAGAGAGTATAATCTCTTATCCCTTATTTTATCTATCTTTTATTTATTTTTTTCTTGCATCACAATCTTCATGACAAGGGATAAAATTGTAGTTAATATATGCTTGTTTTGTAAGAATGACGAGGATCATATTTTCCTTCACTGTCTTTTTTTTTCAAAACATATGGTATTGAGCAATACAAAAGGTTGGTACCCCATTAGTTTGTCCCAGTTCACACATGGATAACTGGATCATCTCGAGCTTACAGGGTTACCCAAGGTTGGATGCATGATATGGACCATTTTTTTGTGCTGCTATCACTTGGGATACCATTTTTGGTGCTGCTATCACTTGGAAACTGTCGTAGGAATGAAACCATAGAACTTTTGAGGGTATCTCTTTGGAGTTACAAGAAGTTAAATGAATAGTATCATATATTTGTGGAGCTGGTTTAATATAACTAAGGAATAAATGTATTCAAGGTGGATATTGATTTGAATTTGGCTAAACTAATGACCTTAAAGTTTGTCAAGGTTAGACCCAAATGCAGATGACAGCCCCTTGCGATAGGTTTTAAATTGAACCTCGATAGTTTTTCATTGGGGAATCCAGGTGTGGCAGGTATAGGTGGTGTGAGTAGAGATAGCTCGGGAAATTAGCTTTGTAGGACTGTGTAATAATGTATCTGCAATGCATGCTGAAATAGCCGCTTCATTGTGAGCAGTTAAAATTCTAAGGGAACGACAAATTGGTGACTACTTCATACAATACATGAATGAGACACTCTTAATATGATCAATTAGTGTAACAAGGAGTCTCTGCCACCATGGCTGTTAAGATCATTGTGGATGCAAACTTTGGAGATCGCTTCTCATTACTTAGTCTTTTTTAATCTTGTCTTTTGATTTAATTTTGGATCTTTGTTGCGACCATTTTTTAATTAATAAAAGTTCGTACTCTTGTAAAAAAAAAACGAATCTTAATTTTTTTCACAACCATACGATCAAGGCTGAGATGATTGACTTGAAGGTTTTTCAATGCCAGAAATACAATTTTTTAGTGAGATTTGATGCGGAGCTTTATTTATTTTGATAGGGTTGCGGCTCTATCAAAATATTTTATTATATATTATTATAATTTTGTATTTTAAGTTTGTAACTTCCTTTCTAATTATTTTTTCAAAATTCTCCCACTTCAGGCCTTCAAATCAAAATCACGAAGAACTTGTTTATTCATACTTCGGGGTCTTCGAGATTCGAAGAGAACTTTGGCTCTCCACTTGAGAACTTAAAAATCCCAAGTTTTTAATTTTATTACCGTTGCAGATAAAGCGAAGATGCAGATGAGTATTAGCAGATAGAGTCAATTTGCATGAGATAGGTGAATGGCATGCTCTTGTTTTTCCAACAAGAAGAGAGTAGATAGAGAGGGGGGATCGTCTATTCTCAGTTAGTTGAGAGAGATGAGATAATAATAATAATAATAATAATAATAATAATAATAATAATAATAATAATAATAATAATAATTAT